AAAAAAAAAAAAAAAAAAAAAAAAAAAAAAAAAAAAACACATCATAGTAAAATTAATACCTTCTCCGTTTCGCATCGAAGCTAAAACATTTTTTAAAGCTTTTCTTAAAATAAATTTCTATACTTCTATAATAACTTTAAGATAAGTACTTATTGAGTTAAAAGAATTTTAATACATAAAATATGGGTGAATGAGTACAGTTTCTCCTACTAGTATGAGTTGTAATATCCACTCTATGTATTAAAATGCTCGTAACTTAATAAATATTGATTCTAAAGTTGTTATCGACCTATTAAAATTATATGTAAGAAAAGATTTAAAAAGTGGCTATTTTATTAATTAATTTTAAAAATTGTTAAAAATTAAAACATTTTAGTTATATTAAAAGTTATAAGAGTTATCAGTTGGACAGAGTTTAGTTTGTTGATAATACAGAGTGCTCCACTCTATATATACATAATATATATATATAATTATATAGAATATTTAATAAATTATACCTTTGGTATTCCATTATAAGATACATAGCTAAAACCAATTCCATCTGTACTGAATGCTACTATATAGCTAGTCACATATTCATCATAAGACGGATTCCCAGCTAATTCAACCCCATATATTGATTCTATATATCCAATATCTATTTGCAAGTATTCATTTTCTTTCGATTCTGCTGGTCTCCAAAATCCATTATCTGCTGAATCCATTTGCGAATAGTAAGGCTCGGTATTAGGGCTGTACCATGAACTAGCGTTAAATGATTTAGGCCCCAAATTAGAAGATATACTTTCCACTCTATACAAAATAAGATTAATTTAAATAATATGTATATATAACAAGTTGTCATTTAAAAATCGATTATTTTATAGCAACCTTTAATATTATTTAAACACTCATAAAAATAAGTTGTGTAAAATTTTAGACTATTATGACAATTTTATCCTATAGCCCTGAACCTCTCAAATTAATTCAATGATAGATTTTCAGAAATAAAAGTTGGATAAAAATTTTTTGTTGAAATATATAATTAATATGTAACTTATTGCATGAAATAACTGTTAGTAAAACATTGACAATAAGAGGAGAAAGGTAGTAGTGACTATCAAAACAATTGCGAGGTACATGATTTTCCGGCTCACGTTTTACATTGGGATGATAAATTACTTCTTAATTTAGGAAAACGCAGAATTATTGATTTTAATAATTATTAGTAGTGGTAATACTGAAAAACTCCTTGCTGTTCCAGCCTTAGAAAATGAAACTGCAAGAGATCAGGCATTACTCATTTATAATACTTATATTGGATGTAATAATACTTTAATTTTATTTTATTATAAAATTTAGTTATATTTGATACAATTGCGATAAATAGTGACGCAAACATAAACTTTTTATTTGTCATGGCGTTAGCATATTTTTTAAATTATTCTAAGAAGTGTTTTGAAAATAACATAGGTTGTACATGTGGTAAAGATGTAACGATTTTCAAAAGGCGTCAAATAATATAACAGACATAACTTTATATCTGGAATTTTGAAAAATTATAAAAAATAATAAAACTAAAAATTAATGAGATTGTGAAATCTATTGAAAAAAATTAAAGATAATTCAACCAAGAAATGATTATCAAGAATTTTTTAAATTATAGTTCATTTTTCAGGACATAAATAGAGTAGTTTCATCTCAATTTCATATACCCGGTGTAACGCTTCATGAGAGGTGGATATTGAAAGGCTATTAATTGCCTCAAAACATATTTATTTAGATATGAATTTACTATTTCTTAGAAAGAAAAACCATACCAATTTTCATTTTTTTTACATAGTATTAAACAGTATTAAATTACCTATAACTTTTATCTTTAACAATTTTTATCTGACTTTTTTCTCGTTTGCTATCTACGAATTTACCACTGAATTTTTATCATTTTTTTCAAAATATAATAATTATTATGTATTAGAGTATAACGTCTATTGAATATATAGTTGATAAATATATTTTTATTGGTGTATTTTATGTAAAACTCTGAATTTTTTCTGACATTTTGAAAAAAATGATAAATATTCAGTGGTGAATTCGTAGATAGCAAACGAGAACAAAGTCAAATAAAAATTGTTAAAGATAAAAGTTATAGGTAATTTAATACTGTTTAATTTTATGTAAAAAAAATGAATCGGTTGAATGGAATTAAAGATATTTAGAATATAATGCAAACACTTTTTCGTGGCACACGAAAAACGCTAATTTCGCAATTACTCAAAAACTGTTCTACTTTTTGTATTTTGGACTTCATTATCGGACTCAGTGGACGATTTTACATAAAAATGACTATCACAAGTCATAGGTCTGAACATTTTTTTTTATTTGTAAACTAGTGTAAATGGTAATTTATATATATTCTATTTAACATTTTCATGTATTAAACGTACACATATTGCGAGTAGTACATTTATTTTGAGTTTGAGCTCAATAACTCATATTTTGAAAGTTAAGTGGGTATTTAGGTAACTGCACTAAATAGTTTATCAACGCATCGCTTATCAACCCTATCTGGCCTACCACAGATCGAGCACAGGTTGCATTATGCGTGTGCCAAATTAGTATCAATATCTAAATCACTAGGAGTATCACCAGCGTAATTGCTAAAGTGGTTCTATTCGTTTTAAGACAAAAAAAAAAGTCTCGGATCTCTAGTCAAGTGCTCCTTTTAAAAGAGTCGTCATCAACGTTCGAGGTGTTCACTTCACTGTCCTTAGCTAACGTAACAATGTAAACGTCAACGATTGGCAATGGATAGTTGCGGGGACTTTTTCTTGGAATGAATTATTGCTTGTACTGTGTCAAATAACAAGAAACATAAGATCAGATTACTTTATTGCTATACATACTCTAATATTAATTGTTGGTTAGCTGGTATAATATTAGTATAAGTGGAGACGTCCAACATATTTTTTTGTCATTAATAAGAATTAAATTATAGTCTAAATTAGTAACCACAACGGACATCTTATTATTTGCTTATCATAATTGCCGACACCTTTCAGATCCTTCAGGTCAACCATACATTAGGAACCCGTTTATTTTACAACATAATTGATTATTTAATGATAAATATAATAATACCATCAATTTTTAGTCCTCACAATACATGGGTTAATATATAACTTTTGTTTTAGCCAAAAATCACTTGTGTTCACTAAACACATTTTATGAAAAAAAACCTAGCTTTGTTTAGTTTTTACAAGTTTTGGGTAATTTTTAACAAGTAATAATGATTTTAACAGTTGATAATTATACAGTCATGTTAATATAGCACTATTTTTTAATCCTTATATTTTTTTCCCATTCGTAGAATACTCTATAAAATCTGTATGTTGATAATAAGAAAAGTTATGGACAATTATTCAGATTTTTTCTGAAAGTCGTATATTAAATCAACGTAAAAGGCCCAAGGGGAAGACTTAAAAATTATCTGAATGGTCAAAATTTTACGCAACTTATCTTTATGAAAATTTACACAAATTTAGGGGGTTTAGAAAAATAGCCGATTTTTATACTAATATATAGTGTAAATCTAAGAAACCATACTGATTATTATCGCAATGAATAGTTGGAGGAGACACACTTAATGGAACATATAATGTATTTTCAGATGTCGTTTCTAGTTCGTTTATTATAATTTTGTCAGTATAACTTTTTGTGGATGTTGTTTCTATAGGTTTCATAGTGCTAGGTGCAGTACTTATTACTGTAGACATAATATTATATAACTGCGTTTTTTCAAAATATTGTTGAGTAGTATATTCATGTCCCAACTCTATTGAAATTCCATTTACAGGAGAAGTAGTATATTCATGTTTTTCAATATTTGCTGCATGAATATTACAAGATGAGTCATCACACACATACGCATTATTTATACATTGACAAATTGTACACCAGTCTTCTTTAAAAATTCCACCCGGCTATGATTAAATCATATAAAGGAAATTAATCGCTCAAAAACATAGTTTAATATAATTAATAAACTAACCTTTACTAATGTTCCATTCCTCGAGTAACAAGTACAATCATTCTTTTGAACACAGGTATCTTTGTCTCTCCACATCCACCCTTCTGGACAGGAATTCAATTTTTCTAATTCACTTACACAACCAGAAATACAGTTTTGTGAAGAATCACACACTTTTGTGGTTTTTATACTATTTTCAAATGATTGACACATTTGGTTACACATAACTTTACATTTTAATCCTACTGGACAAACTGATTTTTTTGTGTAATTAAATATTTAACTTAAACATTAATTTTAATAATAATACTACGACTGTGATATATTTACCAAGACGAGTAATAGTTCTGTTTCTACTGTTTTTTATAACTTTATTTTGCATTGTATCTTCAGTATCTATAAAAGATAAAAACATAAGTATTAGATATAGAATAAAGTAAAACTGTTTTTAATTATACCTCCACAATCACAATTGATACGGATTTCAATGTCCTTGCAATCATTATTACACATTATTCCATTATCCACAGTACAGTCTATCTGTTCAAATTTTTCCTTAATGCCTTTTATCGCTTTCAAGGAACGACATTGAACATCAATAATATTTTCAAAAGAACATATTCCTAAATCCTAGCATTAAAGTTTAGAAAAAATGTTACCAATAGATTATTAATTACAAAGAAAAAACACTTTATTGAAACATTTTACTTCTTCTTTATTTATATTTAATTCTATGTTTTTAAATTCTTCAATAGAAGGGAAAGACTGCACTCCAAGTTTACTATTGTGGAAACTTTTTTTAATCCACTTACTCCATCCTGATATACATTTATTATCTGTTATTTGTGTTGACAATGAAAGTTTTGTAGTTGAAGTGAAAGGTAAATCAGTAGTAGTATAAATTTCATCAATTGTACTGTATGGTCTTATTGTTTGATCACATGGTTGTCCTTTGCATATCTTTTTATTTTTAGAACAAAAGCTTAAATTGAAAGACGTAAATGTTTTTTATTCAATTTTACAATTCAATAAAAATTGGTAACATACCATCTATGACACTCATCTTCTAGAATTACGTCACCTTCGTTGTAGACTTCATTGATTCCTACAATCTGACAAGGTATTTTACAAGAGTTAATGGGAACGCATAATTTAGAAGAATAATTTGAGTAAACTTGACCTTGCGGACAATGAGTTCTTACACAACCTGCACATCATTTTATTTTAAAAAAATTACATAAAAATATATATTATAAATAAATACTAAAAAGCCAACTAAACATATAAATGAATAGAGTTAGAACGAGACAAAATTTTAAGTGCTATTTAATAAACGTTAAAGAGATATTGTCGATTACAGTTAACTTAGAGCAATACGATATAAATCATTTTTTTAAACATTTATCATTATATATAATTCAACCATACTGCAAGTCATGGGGTAGATAAATGTATTGAGAGAGCTAAATTTTACTGGTATTCATTTTCTCATAAACTTTTGAATATGTTCAATTTTTTTAAAAGAAAATATGATTTGAATCTAAAAATTGTTCATGATTCATTTAACTTAGACACACAATCNTTTTAAAAGAAAATATGATTTGAATCTAAAAATTGTTCATGATTCATTTAACTTAGACACACAATCTCTCTTAAAATAATAATTATTTTAGCATTATAGTTAATTAACTTATAAAATAAAAAATAATGTAATTATTAAATCTAGATGGAAAAGTTGTGTGGCTTTCATATGAAAAAATATATTTATAAATAAATATAGAAAATTTGTAATAAAAAAGGCAACATCCTTGCCTCATCTCCAATCAATACTTCAAATTGTTAATAACTTCTGAAATATTGGTCCAAAACTTGTTATTCACTCAGCTATTTACTTAATTAAATTGTTTTCTATTTTATAAGATGGTTAAATATATATGTTGCCATTCAATAAAATTAAGTTGACACCCCTATAAAATTTTAGGGATGAATATAAAATAATATTTTATAACAAATAAGTGGAATTACATATATAACTAAAATAAGCTAAAAGTTCCTGTATATAGGGATAAGAATAAGAGGTGACTTATAAGGTTGCGTCACGTATTTTTTGTCAAATTTTGTCAAAAAGTATGAAGAGACCTGAACAAAACTTAGATGGATTGTTCCATCTTGGATGTGCGCGGGGACAACAGATAATAGGACATAAAGTAGTTTTGAAACGGAGAAGGCCTAAAGTATAGTGTTTGATGCCAGTCGGATAACTTGTGCGGTAGCTGTTACACCAGTCATGTGTACATGTCTACCCAACGCTTGTATGTGCCAACGATGTATAGACATCAACACTCAATTCTAGACTGACTTGTGTATAAGGATAAAAAGGGATCACTAAACTTAAAATAGGGGTAACCACAAAATAAAATAAAAGTTTAGGTTTTTATCCGTGGATGGATAAAAAAAATGATTTAACTACATATTGTTTATAGATTTTGATTCAAATAATTTTTTCCTTTACAAAAGTTTAAAATTTCAATAGTTTTCAAAAAATGAGCGTTTTATCCTTCTTTTGTAGTTTTAATAACAAGTTATGGTGATAACATTTTTCAAATACATTAGAACTATATAAAATTGTATAATTAATTAATATACAGAGTATCCCACCGTGATTTACTAATATTAACATTAGTTTATATAGTCAAATTAATAAATTCTGTATTAATAATATTAAGTAGGATTAAATTTTTAAAAATAATATAAAATAATAAATAGTCCAAAAAAAATCAATTCCACGTATCTCCTTTTTAATCGTTCATATCTCATAAATGCTTTGTCTATAGCATTTAAAATTTTGCAAAAATTCATTCCACAAAAATTTTGGTCGAATGAAATATTATTCTGGAACTATATTCATCAATACATGATTTTTTACTATAAGAAGTTTATAATTAATAACCTTCAACACATAATTTTTTATCACACAATTCTGTATTTGAAATAAAATCGTCACATGACTTGAAAGAGCAGGGTGGAATACATGATTCATAAAATGTTCCATTTTCACATTGAATAGCTGAAAAAATTATAAGTACAATTTTTAAATCATAACATTTTTTTACCTTAAACGGTCTTTTTTAAATTATCACTAATTCCAAGCGTCGGCACAAATCGAGTAAAAATTATGGGTGTGCTAAATTTAAGGATAGCCATCCACAGAGCCATATATATTCGTCCCTAACCAAGCTACATCATTACTATGATCCTCAATACTATAAAATTTTCAAAGTTCTATCAACAAAACATCTACCGAGATATTTTCACAAATAAAATATACTATGTAAAACACAGATTACATGTTAAATTGCTTAATAGAAGTTGGGTATACTGTAGCACAAACCCCATTTCAAAATGTAATTGAAGATATTATAGAAAAAAGAGCGTCTAAAAATATAAATTAAAAATAAAATAAACTTCTTCATAAACATACGACATAAATCTTGAGATCTCCATTTAATATTAATGCCATGGATACTGCATTCTTGAGCATAAGCTGCTATAGCTGTACATAGGCATTCACAATCACCTCCTTGATCGCAAGCACATGTATCATAAATACACCGTTGTAAATAGTTTTCAACCAAAACATGTGGATGACATGATTTAAAGAGTGATGATTTTAGCAAACCACACTTTTTGTTTGCCCATTCTCTTCGATGTGGATGTATAAGACAAGCGTCCTGAAAAAAATAAATCACTATGACATGCACTGAAAAAAAATTTAAAAATAACTTTTAAAATATCTTGTAAACATACTCGGACGTCAGTTGGTAATGAACAATACGACTGAAGTTTCCAAGAATCTCCAAATAATGTAGAAGAAACTTCTGGTATTCCACCATAAGGAGTAATGAAGTCATCCATTTGGTTATCGTTATAATTTCCACATAATCCATTCACCTTATTTTTTTAAATATTGTTATTAATAATAGTATTAGATATTAAAAGTTGAAAATTTTTGAAAAAATTTTAAAATACTTTAAATTATCACTTCAAGTTGAGATAGTTTTTACAATCATATGTTATTTGTTATATATTAATTAAAAAAAAAATGTTTAATTGAATAAATCTGATATAAAAAAAAAACGGTAGCACAGTGGGGACGCGACACAGTTGGGACAAGTATAGATGATATCTCATAGTGATTAAAATCACTATCATAAGAAACACTTCGATGCAAATCTGTAGATAGTGTTTAATTTTAAGAAATTGGTAGATTATTTCAAAAGCAACAATAACTCTTAATTTTATCCCGATTAGTTATTTGATTTATAATAATTATTATTTATTCATACATTATAATTATTATAATATATGAATAAATAATAATTATAGTAATTAAATTTAGTATGAAATTGATATTCAATAATTTAATATTGTAATTTTTACGGAGATATTATAAAAATCAAAAAGTAGTTGTATATTTCTTTGCTTTTAAACACATATAAAAATTTATAGGGCTTCATGCAATACTTTCAATAAAAAATGTTTGTTGCTTATAACAAAGTTATAAGTTTTATACAATGAACTATAAGGAACTTTCATCAGAAACAAAAATAAACTTTTCTAAATCATCTTTTTGCGATGTTTTCAAAATTTGCAATTAGACTTTTTCTATCACTACTAAGTTTTAATATTAATAATATTATTAAAAAATAAGTATTTACATAAAAAAAAATAATTAAGAACAAAAAAAATTGTTTTAAACTAATACTGATTTTGATTATTAATATGTTAAAAATAAGGAAAATGGCATATTTAATCTATTTTTTTTGCATTTTTATCGAAAATAGATATCTTAAATAGAAATAATAGTAATCATTTCCTATTAATTTTTGGTGTTTAAAAAGATTCTACAATTAAAATATGAACTGAAATAATTTTAATGATTTACTTTAACTAAAAAAAAGTTGTTAAAAAAATAGAGCGTATTATAAAATTTCATTATAATTTTTAGAAATTATTTATGTAGCAACATGTTACCAAAAAATTTGGAATATTACAGTTTAGTAGTAGCACACATAAATAGAGTAAAAGAATTATTAAATTACAAAGAAAAATGATTTAAATTTGTAGTTGAAACCTATCATATCAAAAATAAATAATAAAATAAATTAGAATTTTTTTCAATTTTTGAGGGTAATATCTTCAAATAGATACGAATTGTAATCATTTGAAATATCGTTGAAAAAAATTAGTCAAGTGAGAGCTGAAAAAAATGAGTGTCAAACACAAAAAAAACAAATGGTAATTAAATTTAATATGAAATTGATGTTTAATAATTTAATATTGCAATTTATATGGAGAAATTATAAAAATAATAAAGTAATTGTATATTCCTTTACTTATAACGTGTATAAAAATTTAAAGGGATTGATGCAATATTTTTTAATAAAAAATGTTTATTACTTATGAATAAATTCACTGGAATACAAGATACTATCATCAGAAGCAAAAATATAGTTTTCTAAATCAACTTTTCGCTCTGTTTTAAAATCTGCAATTACACTTTTTCTATAACTTCTAATTTTTGATATTATTACTAATTACATATAAAATGATAAAAAATTGTTTTTAAATTATTACGATTTTGATTTTTAATATGTTAAAAATAATCAGTCCAAAATTTCATTTTTAACCTATTTTTTTAAGTTATTTAGACAGAAAATTAAATTAGTTAAGTTAAAAAGTTTATTGGAAAAATAATTAACTAGTTAAGTTGAAAAGTTAAAAAATATTAATAATTAGCTCTAATATTTTCAAAGATATTTCGAGAGATATAGATAAGGAATCAGTGGTGCAACTATAAATTGGTTAGAGGTTATCCTTCTTACCCAAAATTATTTGGGATGTTTTAATTTTTGGTCATGATGACCCTTTTTCTGGTCATTTGAGTTTTATTCAATAGCGATCCAGAAAAAACAAATTTTGATAATCAAAAAGAAAAGTATAACACCCGCCTTATTTATTTTCTAGTTGCGCTACTGTAAGGAACCTTATATATAGGATGATCTTGTGGAATATCTTCAAAAATAAATGAAAATATATGTTTTTTCCTATTCAAAAGTTATTAGGATATTTAAACTTCAACTATCAAAGAAAAATGTAGTTCTATTCCCTCTCATTCTTCCATTATATTTTAGTTATAATTGTAATTTTTGATTTGTACCATTTTCATTTTTTAAATGATGACATATATGTTTAACTTACTTAAAAAATAGAAAATGACTTGTCGACAACAACTTGAATCAGTATATTGGAAATTGTTAGCACTAAATAATGATGATAACGTTTTTTCCGAAATACGTTTACGTGATTTTTATGGCTTAATTAGTTAAATATTTTTAATATTTTTTAGTGTTAAAATTAGCCACGAATGATCAATTCTCATAATATTATTTTTAATATTTACAAAAATCTTACATGGCTTTTCCATTTTGGATCAAGTTGTAAGTGTACTCTGGTACCTTTATCCCAATGTATGACTATTCCCATATCTGGTACTTCAGCAACAATAAATAGTCCAACTTCTTTGATAATTATTCTATAAATTGCATTAAAGTATGTAGTTCAATAAAATATTCACGGAGAATTACAACAAATATCATATTTAAGGGTAGATCAAGTAGACAGTAGCTTAGGATGACATTTTTGATATTATAAGTTAAAAATCATTATTCAATTTATTTAAAACATTTTACGTACAAGTTTTTCTAAGTAAATATAATCATTTTAAGTAACTTTCGCTGTATTCATAGAAAATACTGTATGTAAACATAAACAGAGATCGTCTTAAAAAAATGTTTAATATCTAGGAATATTATTCATTTATAATATAATAAATAGGGCCCGGATTTCCATTCATATAGCATTTTATTTAGTATTATCTTAAGTGATGCTATCCAATAATAATATTTGATTACATGAACTTCCATAATTTGTGATTATCCATTAGATATATAAGGAGAATTCAAAAATGAAACTTTTGTTTTACATGATTTTTAATTTTAAGGAATTTTTGCCGTTTATGGATCATTTTAACACTTCTAAGATTATATTTATGCAAAAATAATTTTTTTTTTTATGAAAATTGGATAAATTAAAAGTTTATTCACGAAGTAATACAAGTTTTTTTATATTATATTAAAAATATTCATAGGCGCATTCTAGAGATGGGACAAAACACATGAGTATGTTTTTAATGCTGATAATGATAACAATATTTCTAAAATATGTATACGCCATTTTTTAGTGGCTTTTTGAGTAAACTATTTAAATATTTTTTTAGTTTTTAAATTATTATTTTAAAATATGTTTAATTTTAAAGAAAATAGTCATGAGCGATCAATTATTATTATTTAAAGCATTACTTTTCTATTTAAAACATTTTTAAGTATAGGCAAAAAAATACTAATAACTCAAAAATTAATACATTATAATTATTTATAATAACACTAATTAACAACCAAAATTATACAGAATTAAAATTATAGAATTATTAAAGGACAACACACAAACGTCTCATAGATACCAAATTATTTAATAGTACCCCATTTTTTTTTTTTAATTGTGTTAATTTTACGTTATTTCACGTTTAATAATATAAATAATTAAGCCATTGGGTCGCAAAGTTGATGATCTCTTATATAATATTTTTTAATTTAATACGTTAAAATTATAATCAATTGACATAAAATTTTGACTTTTTATATATAAAAAAAAGACACTATTTTAAAAAAAAATCTTATTTTTACGTATACTACTCAGAATGCTTTTAATATATTTTAAAATAATATTAAATATAAAGAAATGTATCTACTTTGCATTCACTGTCTCAATAATTATTATTGATAAATGAAAATATTCATTTAATAGCTCAATATAATAATTATAATGAATTATTCATTATAATATATAACTTTTTCGGTTAAAATGTAATTTGATAATTTGTTATTAATAAATTTGTGGACACACAAACAAAACGATTTTATTTATATTGTTTCAAGAAGAAACGATACACTAAATGATGGTTGGAAAAGTAAAACTGATAACGTTTTCAATCCCTGGTCAAAACTATATTTGATAGAAAATTTTTTAATTTGATAATATATATTTTATATAATAGAAAGATTACATCACTATTTTATTTACAATAATAAAGTAATAGAAAATAAAAATTAATTGAAAAGGTAATATTTTTCCAATAATATTCTTTTAGCGTGAGAATATTCTAAATATTTACTTTAATGGTTTATGCTCCGAGTATTATTAAGCATGACTGTTTTTGGTGTATTCCTTATGACAAATAACTCCCATTATCTCTTGGAATAAAAAATGTATTAATTTGTGTAAACGCACATTAAACCTTTATTTAAATGTTGGTTTTATGCAACTTGGCATTATATGCTATTCTTCTATCTTGGTAATAACATACAGAGTTGTAAACACAATCCGATTGTTGCTAATGTAACTTGATTAAAAACGGTAAAATGGTAACGCTATTAAATTGTGATAACAATGGTTTGATGACGCAACATACAGCAAGTACAGTGCAACTGTTATATTGTTACGGATGTTATTTAAAGTATATTTAAATAATATTCGTAATGTTGTTAATAAACAGAAGAACCGGACGGACTGTCCAAAACGGTCGCAACCGTTCTATTGTGTGACCATTATAAGGGATGAATAATAAAAAATGATAATAAATATATATTTGCTCATAATGAAAACTGAAATTGAGTTATATTTGACAATTAATTCAGCTTCATTATTTAATTTTCTATTTAAAATCGTTTGCATCCATTTAATTTTACCTATGGACCATATGGTTATGCCTTATAATTGTCTATAATAACTTTATTATTTTCGCTACTATCAAACTTTCTTTATTATATTTGTGATAAATAATGCTCTCAAATTGAATACATAATATTCCCAAAAATATTTACTCAAAATATTATTTGAGAATTTTTACACTAACGCAAACAACACTTACACAATTATAACACTTCGTTGAATAAGTATTTTAATGAAATATATTAGAATAGTCTTACATTATTTTTATTTTACCTCTTGAAGACCTGCTAGATATTTAAAAACTGTGGCATTAATTACTTCACACATAGGTGAACTTAAACACAAGCATACAAGTTTTTCCATTTTTTAAGTAAAAAATTTATTTTAATACATTAAGAAAAAATATTAATTTTTGTATGAAAATAATAAAGAAAAAATAATGGTTTATCACTAATAAAAAAATCGAAAATAATAAACTAACAATAATTTACTCAATTATTTCAGAAACCCGTCAAACAAACAATTTTTTAAAAAATAGCTCAATTTTATTTTACAAAAACGTATCAAATCTTGACATTTGACAATTTTTTGCACAGAATTATGTATCTATATTTATTTAATAGTTAAATGAACCCAAGTCATGATTATAGATTTACACTAAACAGGTTTCTGAAATATTTAAAAATTATCAATTTACCTGTTTAACTTTGGTAAATAATTTTTATTTCTCATGTTTACAGTTTCAACTGTTAATCCACTACCAACTGATAAGGTTATTGATTTTATACAGCTTGCACCAGTAGATCCACACGGTACTACCTGCAATAAATATTAATTAAACTTGGAATCATTTTTTAATTTTCATATTATTTATAGTAATAAATATATATATATTCATATTACAATAGCAAATATTATTTAAAGACAGCGAATTTCAATTCTATACATAAATACAAAGTTCTAGACTGATTGTACTATTATAAAATCAAAATTTAAATTTTTATATCAAGTATTTTCTATTAATTTACAAATCAAAAAATATGTTTATAATGGTTCACAATTTAATGAATACTAACATCTATTGATGTCACAAATGATTCATAATCTGATAACGTGCCTTTTGCTAGTATATATTCACAAGTTCCTTGAAAATCATAATAATGCGAATCAAACGTTTGAAAATGAGAATCGCCCCAAGCTGAACAAACGCCATTACACTCATTATTACTACATTTCCATTTTCCTAATTGGCATTCACTAAAAATATACATACAATGAAAAAAAACATTTTTATTAGACTTTATAAATACTTTGTTTCAAATATACTATATTTAAAAATAAATTTTTTTTAGGTTTTTATTTTAAAACTTTTCCCTTTAAGTTCCATGATTTAGTTGCTTTTTCTAATAATATGATTTTTGTATTATGACAACACACTACGTCATTAATATAATTTTGAGGTAAAAAATTTACTATCAAATTTAGATAGATAAGAAATAATATTTACCAAATATTGCAACCTTCAAAAAATGTCTCATTATTGCTATAACTTTTACCACCATGGTGACAAGGGCATTCATTGGGCAAAACACATTCCTTGCTATATGAATCGAGCACATATGGATTCTTACAAATGCAACCAGAATAGCAAACTGCGGGTGTCAATTGGGGAGGATCATGCATATTCTAAAAAATATTACAAATATAACTAAAAAAACTCATTGAGTTTTTCAAAAAAAAGAACCTTAGCAATTTTTTTCTTTAAAACAAACTTTCTACTTGTAGAATAATTTTAAATGATTACTCAAAATATCATCAGAAAAAAGTATTGCAACTTATTTGAACGATAATCACTACTTTATGGGTAATTAAACACCACAATTAAAAAATGATTTTTTTTCAAGAAAACTAAGAAGAAAAATTTTTTTTCGTTAATTAAGTTAAATTTTAAATTTTTGATTGCATACTAAATGATAACTAATAATATACTAATAAATGATACTAATCAAAAATATGTTTATATAGTTCGAGACTTTAGATGACTATCAAAATATACAACAAAAAAAAATTGTTAGAATGTACTATAGAATATACACTACCTAAACGGTATTTAAACAATTGTTTCACAATTTTATACAAAATTAATTAAAAAGTTTCGACATTCAAATATTTTNTATGTCTGTTTACCCATACACTACCTAAACGGTATTTAAACAATTGTTTCACAATTTTATACAAAATTAATTAAAAAGTTTCGACATTCAAATATTTTTCATATATTTTACTTGTTTAAAACTTAATTAATTGAAAAATAAAAATCACTCATAGCAATAATTTAAAATTCGAGTTGTTATAAAACAGAAATGTAAGTGAAAAACAAAAATTTACAGAATTAGCTGTTTAATATGTATATTTAATGAATTATAAATATGTGTTATTATGAAGCAGATAAATATTGAGGGAAATATTAATAAAAAACATTATCTTTATGTATTCCTTAAATTATTTCTAAAGCAGTATTGGTTTAATATAAGCAAAGATATTCATCTAGATATAAAAATTACCTTTAAGAAAAAATTGAAAGATTATTCTTATTATTTTTTAACTTCGATGCGAAGCTAAGAAGGTATTAATTTTACTATGATGTATTTTTTTCTTTTTTTTTTGTCTATTAACACTTTTTCTCAGCTCTCACAGAACCGATTTCTTTCAATGATACGTCAAAAGATCACAAGTCGTATCTAGTTGAAGACATTACCCTCAAAAATTGAAAAAATTTCCCTTGTTCCCCGTAAATGAGGGGAACCTCCAAAAAAATTACAAATTTAAAAATCGCTAATTTTCGAAATTTTTTCAATTTTTTTTACTTAAAACTGCCATAACTTTTTAAAAAATAAACAAATCAATATAATTTTTTTTTTATAGATGCTTGATGTCTTTACCTATCATATGCTATATTTTTTTTTTATAAATTTAACCCTTTACCAGCCCACAGAGAGGGATTCAAAATGACAACTTTTTCACAAAAAATTAACTTTTTCAACTTTACTTTTAAAAGTGTTCCGAAAATACTGACACTTTTATATATATCTTAAATTAAATTTAATGTAATATACTTTATTATGAAAAAAAAAAATTTCGTACTTTATTTTGTCTTCACGGTGAAAATAGCTACCGTATGCTATTTTCGTGTTAAAATTGTCGATTTTATATTTTACATTTTTAACTTAAAACGTTATAACTTTTTGAAAAATATGTGGATCACCACAATTTTTTATGAGAAATAATATTTTTTAATAATCCCTTTTTCATTCGACATACTTTATCTTAATCAGGATATTAATATGGAACTAGCAGATCATGTAGCTTTTGGAATAATCCACCAATTTTTTTAAATTAAACACTATCTAAAGATTTCCATCCAAGCGTTTTTTTTATAGTGATTTTAATCACTGTCAGATATCATTATACTTGATCCAATTATATCACGTCAACACTGTACCACCACCCCCCTGTACTGGGTTTTTTGCTTTGTAACTTGAAATAAAAGTAAGATACATATTTTGCATACATAACATGTTATTGGTTCAACGGGTTCACATTCTGTAAATTCTAAGTGTTTTTGATGACTACAGGAAGTTGTTTTAACATCTTTCCATAACTCAATTTCTGATGGTTCGGCGTGTTTACAGTCCCAAGCTGCACTTTTACATGTACACAGTTGTAGATCATTGGTTGATCCGTCCATTCGTTTTTGTCCATAATTATACTTTTGACCATTATAATAACATGGACATTCAGACATTGGTATACATTCACCAAATTCTGATAAAGTAGAACCAAGCGGACAATAACAACCTTCTACGCATGATGACTTACACGAATTTATTATAGACATATCATGACAAGTGCGCTGACATGAATTTCCACATGAGTTATATTGCTGACCAGCTGGACATTGAATTCCTAAGAAAATTAATTTATGAATTAAAGAACAAAAGATATACGTACATATACATTACATACCGCATTGTCTAGCCTCGTATCTCCAATCAATATTCAAACCCTGGTGATTACATTCCATAGCATATGTAGCTAATATTTGACAATAACAGCGTGAAAATTTACCAGGGTGGCATGAACACATATCATAAAGACAATCTTCATAATATGAAGAAGGATCTACTAATATATGACATTCTGAGAATAATTTGCCAGTAATATTATTACAATAACTTTCTGCTGTATATTTATGTTGAATGTTAATATCACAGGGATGAGGAGATTGTAAAGCCACTTCTAGATCACTATTTTTACAGCTCTCTTTAGTTTTCCATTTATTAGCAAACGCTACAGCATCTATTTCATAATCTCCTTCCGGTGTAAGAAAATCATCCTTTTGATTACCATTAAACGTCCCGCACAATCCCTTCAAAAATTAATTACTAGTTAAAAACTTTTATGCAATCAAGAGTACTGTTAAGTTTACCTTTGTTTTGCCTATTAACTCTGGATTAGCATAGATGTGAAGCCTTGTTTCACCATCCCATTGAACTTCAATGCCATTTGATATTACAATTTGCAAAAAAAATGTTGACAAGTGTCTTATGTACGCTAAATCAAAAACAGACACTGGTAACTTATCAATAATTTCACCGTTAACAGTAACTATTTTGTTTTGTCCTAATTTAATTTTGGTAGTATTTCCAATATGTATAGTTAGTGATTTTGTACATGTTCCTTTTCCCGAAAATGGTGTCATTTCGAAAACAAATTCCTGTGATAGTGTACCATCACAAGGAATATTTTCTGCTTCTATAGCGAATTCAGGTAACACAATGAGATAATACGAACAAGACCCCATAAAGTTGAATTTTAATCCATCAAAAGTTTTGTAATGTGGGTCACCAACAGCGTAGCATTCAGCTCGACAAGTAGCTTTAGTACAACTCCATTCACCTCCAATACATGTGCTTAAAATTTTTTTCTTGCATTATTTCTTAATAAAATAAGTTTGTACGTGCAAATATTTACCATTTATTACATTCTTTAGATATTATATCTCCTGATTTATAAAATATATTTCCCATTTTACATGGGCATTGATCCTTGGATATACATTGACCGTTATTTTCAACAGATCCTGGTGGACAAATACACCCTTCTTCACAATGTTCATTGTTATTTAAAATTTTTAAATCAGAAGGTAATGAGCAAGTTTTTTGTATAGCAGGTAAACATTGGGAGTACACTTTTCCACTTGGACATTGAAATGCTATGAAAAAATTGAAAAGAAAATTGTAATTTATATTTTAACTATAGTTACGCAACTAAACATTTTTGTACTTACGACATAGACGCTCATCCCTCCAAAGTATTCTACGGCTGTCGTCGAAGCAATCTTGAACGTAAATAGCAATACTGTTACATCCACAGTTTTCATCGTTTTTCAAAATACAATGACTGTATTCCATTTTACAAACTTCAATATAAGCTTCTGTATTTAATTGCTTATTTGTACAATTTTTAAAAGTTTCTTTCTTCAGTATTGAGCAAAATAATTCAGCTTTATAAAAAACTTCTTTTGTGACATCAATTATTTCTTCAATAGGTCGTTCACATACTTCATTAAACCCATTAACGAGCCATTTACTAGCAAAATCTGGTACATTTTTATACATTAAATCATTCTCTGGGTTTCCATCCATATTTCCACAAAGTCCTTCTGTCGAATTCCAAATTTCTATACCAGCGTCAACTTGTAAAACACCCTAGAATTTTATAAATCAATAATTGATAATTAACTAACACAAAATAATTTAATTAGTATAGTTAATAATTATTATTATTACATTTGGTTTCCAAAATATTTTTACATTAGCATTACGCAAATTGGTTAAAACTGTCTGTCCTCCGAGAATTTCAACGCCAATATCTGCAAGCTCAATTGGTATAGTGTGTGATATTTTATTACTTACAAGAGTGATACTATTATCATCTAAAAATCGGAATAAAGAAAATTAAGGAAATACAACTTAACAATGATAAAACATTTCCTACTAACTATTTTTTTTTATCGCATATTCACTACCCCCAACAAATATATTTATATGACTTATTGATCCTAGATAAGTTTGTGCTTGTACTTGAAATAAATTAGATTTAACATCGCTAATTAAAGTAAATGTGCAATCACTATGAATGCTGTAAACTCTTCCATCAAATGTTTTATAATTTCCATAACCCCAAGTAATACAACTACTAGGATGTATATGGTAAGTTTCAGTCACTTCAATGACCGAAGTTATAACTTTAACAGGTGTTAATTGGTTATCTGAAATATTTAAAATACTTTGCTTTATTTTTTGTAAAATAAAAGAAAAACAAAAAAATTTATTACTCACTAAATACACATTGTGGTATATGTTTGGGTGAGAAACTTCCAGTTTCATATAAACAAGTATATTCGATTTCTGATGAACGGTATGGTTCTAAAATAGATCCTTGAGGACACCACAGTGTACAATTATTGTTTACATCATTGTCAGAACATTTAAAATTTCCATTAAAGTTTAATTTCATAATATCACAAGAACTTTCAGCTGAAAATCGCAATGAATTAAGTTGACTTAATTTTTTTAACTACCTGGGTATTCCCAAAAACTCAAACTTAACACATACGATATTGACATTGGGGTCCTTTAAAATCTGTCGGACATTGACACGTGTTGGGGCTAATGCAATTTCCACCATTTAAACAAGATGGTTCACAAATAGGAACGCAGTTGGGAACTATGAGCCATTCATTATTTCCAGGTAACCAAACTCCATTTTTACAAAATAAATCAGTGACAGACGTTCCGTCAGAAAATTTATGTCCTTCGAGGCAACTAATTGTACATACGCTAAAAAAAATCATTAAGTTAAAAAATAAATTTATAGTTTAATCATTTTATTATTTAAAGTAAATTTTACTCTGATTTGCACTTCTTATACGAGTTCATTGGTGTGTGAGGAAATCCGTGACAACTTGAATTTGATTGCTTTACAACTGTCTTAAGGTTTGGAAATTCATCAGGAAATATTATATTACTTGGTGCTTGGTTTAAATCAGAACTTGCTTCTTTATGTTCTCTTATATAAATAAAAAACATTTTTTTTATTAATTAGGTAGTTAAGTAAAAGTATGTTTATGCCAGAACCGGAATAATAGAACCTGAACAGGTGACTCATTATTATATGATAATAGACCACTGGAGAGCTTTATCCCCTCACTATATAGCCGAATTAGTTTCGGGTAGAGTTAAAACCCTATATCCCTACTTTTTGAGCGGTATTCAACATGTATTGGTAACCCTACTTATAGGTATGGCGCCCATAATCTTAACATTTAGTTATAGCAATAAAAAATGGAAAACTTATCATTAAATAATATAGTATGTATAATAGTATATGTAGTATAGTATAGTACATAATAGTATAATCAAATTAATTAATAATACTTTATTTATCTGCTTTTATCATAATACGTCACTACAAATAATTATTTTGTCACAAAAATATAACCATTTAAAATACCAAATAGCATAAAACCTGTGCTTATATTTAATGAAATATTTTAGAATCAAATTATCATATCATAATCATACAAAATTTAACAAATTCAATAAAAATGTTAGAAAAATAATATGAACAACAGTAAATAATAGTAAATTCTTAGTAGGGGCCATTGTCCCATTATTACTATCTCGTGCTGAGATGCTTATAATTTTATATATTTTAATGGTTTTATATATGTAGTTCCATTGGATAATTAAAATTAATTATATTGAATATAAATTTTAAAGGGGATGTATGATAAATTAGTTAAATTAAGTAAATATATTTGTAGTTTAAATCTCTAAGTCAAATAATTAGATCAATAGCATATTAAAAATGAATTAACATCTGTATTATTAATAACTAAATATAAATCCAAAAATATGCACCTGATAAAAATTATAATTTTAAATTTCTGTCTTATTTATTGTGCATAATTAAATGTTTATCTAAAGTTGCATGAGGGCTAGAATAATTATTATTAATTTTATCAACATCTTCATGTCAAAAATATAAGGAAAGATGACAAATTCAGTATTTCTCAAAATCAATCATATATAACAGCATTCGCTACCTAGCATAAAAGTCTATTACAGTATACTTTATTACTCACATGGCACACACGTTGATTTTGTTTTGGTTAGAAATTCATATTTTGAAATTTCAAACATTTTTATTAGTAAATAATATAATTTATTAATTAATAAGGACCCATTTCTTTTACAATACTTTGAGTTACAAAATTTTACAATCGTTTTCGTCATCTTACCACATAGCAGGGAAAATATGACAAAAATGACATTTTTTAGGAAAACTTATATTTTGCTAATAACCACTAGTAATTTCGCTTTAATTACTTCTTATATATGTACATGAGTTTAATTTCGAATAGATAAAAAAAAATGTCATAAATTATTTAATATGAATATCAAATTATTCAATTAGTATTAATATCAGGGGTTTAAAGCAAACCATTTTTTTTTATTTCTGAAAAAAATAAAGATACCTTTAAAAATTACTTTAAAAGTATATTTGATTCTTGAAAGTATTTTGTTTTAACAAAGTTAATAAATCTTCCCTTTTAAAAATCTCCGAAAATTAAATGCTAAAACCTAGTTTGGAAAATTTATGTTCTAAAAAAAGTCACCAAGAACTGATCTATTAAGTACTATAAAGTTTATATAGTAACATACTATGTACTATATTTACTACCATTGAATCTTGCGATTTATTATACTATTAAAAAATTAAATAGAATAAATGACAAAATTATTCACATAAAATATGGCTTAAGTGTTTGAAGCGGTCATAATTAAATTAAGTTTATGTTTGATAAATAATTTTGGATTATTTGACATATAAAAACAAAAAACCTGAATTTTATCAAAACTGTAAGAACACCTATATTATAAACTACGATATTTGAAGTTTACATATAAAACGACTATAAAGTTAATGTTGACACCAAGGCGACAATGTAAGGCTATATGAATTAAATATTAAATTCACTACAAATAATTTTTACTTTAGATGGTACAATGATGTATCCTTTATTTGGCAAAATTCTCCAGCATAATTTTCAGAACACTTACATGTGTTAGGTTTTTCACATTGACCGTTATTTTCACATGGAGGGTCACAAATAGCTATAAATTGTTATATTCAACATACAAGTATAATGTATTTATTATTAAAATATAACAGTATATTATGAAATATTACGTTGGCAAAATGGTACATCAAATAAATTGGTGCCTTTAATTTTGTATTTGTCACCTTCACATATAAATACCAAAGTAAAATTCCCTTTAGGAAACTTATATCCTTCATTACATGTTGCTCGACAAGTGCTAAAAATTTTTTTAAATTTTATTGATTAATAATCATTAAAAAATAATATTGTAAATATATTACTTTGTCAATGACGAACAAAGAGTCTGAGAATTATTCGGTGCTTGGAACGTCGTTTTGCATTTGTCTACCTTACCTGTAAATAGATTATATTTATATGCACGCATATATATCTATTAAATTAATTTATATAATTATTATATAATTTAAAAAATTGCAATAAAAATTGTACTTCCCATTTATTTATTGTTAAAATATGTACATAATATTTGTATTGTAACCATTGGTTAAAACCTTTAAGAGCATACATATCAAAACTAATTCTGACGAAGAAAATAAAGAGCCGAATACCTAATCAGAACTTCAAATTATTTATTTTAAAAGATGGGAACCCTGTCAAAAATAGGTTCTTTTAATTAGTAATAAACTATTTAACTATGTAAGTAATACATAAAAACCTAGAAAGTTATATAAGTAGTTATTGTTAGTAAATAGTCTATTAAAATGTTTTTAAAACTACTTATATTGCATAAAATATATTATAGAAATGATCCCTTTTAGAATCGAGCAACGGACCAACCGGAAGTCTTTAAAAAAGAAGTTTAAGAACTCCTAATCAAATCTAAACTGCTTAATTTTTATTTTAGGTAACTCTTTAAAACCAGTTCCTAAAAACTTAATAGTTTTAACTCCGAAAAGTTTCATTAATTAAAAAAGGTTAAAACAAATGAAAGTATTATTAACAAAATGTATATTAATTAATAGTGGTGAATTATACAACAAAAACCAATCACTTGTAGCTAATATTTAAAATGTTAATTTAAAACAACTCAATATTTGAATTATTTTATTTAAAATGACTCAAAAAGACACAAAAAAAAACAGACTTATTAATACAACATGGTTAAACAACATAAGGGTGTTATCATCTATTCAAAAATTTATTAGTGTTTCAAATTAAAATAATATTAATTTAGTTCAAAAATTCTAGTTATAATGTTCAAAATAATGAAAGAATTAATTCTTATCATTAATCTATATAATTCCCTAAGCATTATTTCCAAGTATTTCAATAAACTAACAATTGGTTTTTATAAAAACTGACTAGATAAAAAAAATTAAAATAGGATAAAATGAATGAGGTTATAAATTTAACAAACTTATTTATGAGTCTAAATGTTTTACGTTTTCAAAATAAATTTTATGAGTAAATTGAATGTTCATCAATAAGAAATCCTTTATCACCACTTTTAGCAGAAATTTTTCGGAGTATATTCGAAATAAATTGAATAAACATATATAGCAGTTTTCAAAAAAATTTGAATTAAGTATGTAAATGATATTTTTGTAGTAGTAAAAATATTTTATACGGAAGTCTTCAGACAACATTACATTATTTTTACTCATTAAATAAATTCATAACGAACAGAAAATATAGGGAAAATTTTATGTATGACGAAACATAATTTCAATCAAAATCAAAATTAGTCCAAACACTAAAGTGTTATAAACAAAAGAGGACAACCAGTATACTTTTTAAGGTGGAAGAACAAAAAGTAATTAGATCACCCATTTTATGCTATCCAGGAATTTCAATTTTTAAGAATTTTAATATTTTTTTAATAAGATCTCAAAGTCATAATCTAAAAGATTTATTAAGTAACCCTAAAGATAAAGTAAAAGGAAGGAAATCGGGTATTTATACAACGCAATCAAAAAGTTGTAATAAATATTATGTAGAACAAACAAAACTAAACATAAAAACCAGGCGGCTTAAAGAACATATAAGAAACCTTAAAAATAAAAAAAGATGATAAATTCCTATGGCTGAATAGTAATTGACACATAATCACTCCATTAAAATCTTAAAACTAATTAAAAACGTAAATAATTACAAAGAACTTAGTATAAGGAAGGCAATAAAAAATTTTAAATAAAAGAATAATTTAATTAAAAAGGATATTGACCCACTTTAAAATTCCTTACTAAACTTGTTTAAACTGATAAAATGTGACGTTCGACCAAGTGATAAAATATTAGGTGATAACATCACTAGAGGTATAAGTCATAGTATTTTTCAGTCAGTAGCAGTACGTGTTTAGCGATGATAATGATAATGCTATCCCCGAAATACGTAATCTTGAGTTAAATACATTTTTAATCTTTAGTTTATAATTAATATTAAATTTTTTTTTGGTTAATTACCTTTTATTTTATTTCTTCTTTCAGGTTTTATGACATTTGTTTTGTTTTCATTCTGATTTCGGCTAAAATTAAAAAAAAATATTTGCTGTAGTATATCTTTAAAAAGTCAGTTGTATAACAAATGCATACTTTACAGGATCATCATTTTGATTAGATGGATCATCATTTGGTAAATCGCTAAAAAAATGAATAAATATTATACAGCATAATTCTTACAAAATTGTTGACACAATTTTCCCAAATGTTAAGAATTAAAAATGTTTCATGCCATCTATGTATAGATTATATATAGATATATTAGTTTTCGACTGATAATACCAAGCAAATGTTGAAGAAATAATAAAACATATTTCAAAAAAAAAATTAATATAATATTGCATGATATACAGTATTATTATAATATAATATATTGTTATCGATTGTAAATCATTTTTTCCATCCTATTTTTGTCACTACCCGATTTTTCTACTAATTTTTTTATCCACGTTTATTTTTTGTTCTAATGGTTGTCATGATAATTTTAGTTCAATTGTTAATATTTTTTTCAATATTTAAATTCGATCAGAATCTCAAATTGTGTAGTTGCTAATTTTTTTATAATCAGTAATTGGAGAATTTGAAGTTAATCAAAATCTTTATTAAATATGTTCGTTTTTTGGATATGTCGGAAATATCCGGAGTGTCGATTCCGTGTTGTCACTCGTTCATGTGCAACTCGTGAACAGGTTCGTTATAAAGATTTAGAATTTATTTATACTCATTTAAATTAAAAGTGAAATGATAAGTAGGCTGTGGAAGTTTTAAAGTGTTCTGATGGGGCCACTCACATGCTCCAAATTTCGAAGAGGCCAACGCTATGAAGATTAGAGAAAATTTAAAACGCCGAACAGAAGCTTACCCCGAAGCTCCACCAGCTCAGCTTCTGCGAACCGAACTACAAGCAGTATCGTCAGATGTTCTCAGCATTGGTGAAAAGTCAAACTTAATAAAGGCAATTCAGCGTAAATGTAGAAAAAATATATCTACAAACCCACAATGTCTCGAAGATTTAGAAGATTTGCCTGAAAATTACAAGCATACTCTAGGAGGAAAGATATTCTTACTTTACGATTCCTGGAGTGGCGACGATGCAGGGGAGTCTGTCGGAAAAGTGCTAATATTTGTAACGAAAGAAAATCTAAGAAGATTAGTAAGAAATGGCTCATGGTATGTTTATGGGACGTTTAAATAATATTCTTTCAACTTTTCTCTGTTCTGGCTGCTGTTGTACAAATCATCAATAGTTTTTAAAAGAAAGTGGCACTACCGGTTGTGTATGCATTAATGAAAAAAAAACCGAAAAAGCTTATGAAATGGTTAAGATCGTTCTTAGTAAATAAAAAAAAACAAATAAATAAATTATTAAAAATAAAAAATAAATTTCATACGTAGGTATTTCAAGTAATCAAGGAAGAATGCGATCGATGCAGATATGTTATCTCTGTTAGGATAATAATGACTGACTTCGAGTTAGGTGTAATAAGAGCCGCGAAACTTTGAAAATCTCAGTGAAATGGTAAATACCATTCAAGCCTATACATGTTTTTGGTAGAGCTTCAGAAAGAACGGGGAGATACTGAGGCTATGTTTCGCGAATTGGATATCGGTCGTAAAATCAAGAGATCAGAAAACTTGTCTCGATTAAAAACCGAAGAAAGACTTACCAAGTTAGCAAGAGAATATGAAACGAGGACGGAAGACTGTGAAATCGTTCAGTATTTCCGAGATGTTGGACACAATATCACGTTTAAGATATTAAATATGTCTTGTCTTCTTATCAACAAAAATCTTGTTGAATAAATATTATTATTATTATAATTAAAAATTTTTTTTTTGGAAAAAATTAATGGAAAAGAATGTTAGTAAAAAAAGAAGATGTTAGAAAATATACAGTGGAAAAAAAATATTGAAAAAACTGCGTTGGAAAAAGAGGAGTGGATAAAATGTCTCATAACCATTGTTATCTAATAATGTGTATAATCTACTAACATCAAAAAAAAATTCCTATTAAGTTATTCTGAACACAACACTAGTACAAATTTTTGCTGATTGACTTAAAACTTAATAATATAGTATTAACAAAGTTATAGTTTTAGGGGGTGTTCCACCCTTAAACGAAAAATATTTCTTTGTTACTATGTAATCAAAGTTGTACAAACTTGGGACCCTTCAAAGTGACATATACAAAATTTATAAATACATACAATTCTTTTAATCCTCATAAAATATTTTTAAAAATATAAAAGCTAATCATTTTTGTTTATTTTTTTACAATAATAATGCTTTATTGTTAAGCTACTTTTAAAGAAAACCTAAGTTTCTATTATCCCTTACTTTAAAAAATCAACTTTTGTTTTTTAAATAACTACCCTATTTTTTTTTATTATCTAGTAAGTTTAAATCAATAAATAAAAGAAATTTTGGGAATTTTTTTTTTTAAGTTTAAGGGAAATTAATAAATAAGCTTTTCTTTATACAAAATCCATAATGTACCTATGTTTTTATAACTATTCATTACACTTATTTAATCAATTTATAACTTTCACACCTTGAATAAATAAATACTAATTTTTCCATCTCACATAATCTTCAAAGATTTGTAACTCATTGAAATTTGAATAAAATAAATATATAAAACAATATTCCTATAAAAAAAAATATAAATGCCGCCTTTTGAAAAACTTTAGTTAAAGATTGTTTAGTATAAATTTTTATTATAAAGTAGACCAGCAAATAATTATTATTGTTGCAAAAAAAAAAAATTAATAACTTAAAAAAATATTTCGTGAGGCGTTGTTACGTAATCAATTTATATATAAAAATTCTAATATATAGAAATTATAGTTATGTTATGGGTAGTTAAATTTAAGTTAAATCATTTCAATTATTTTAATACTTTAAAATTGAGAACGAGCATAATAAAAAAGGTCAATTATTGAATTTTAAAAAATTACTTTTGGAATTACTCCCATTTTAAAACTTAATCAATAGTCAAAATTAATTTTTTTTAATCCTTCAGGACATATTTAAAGTAAAATAAATATTAAGAAATAAAAAATATAACTTATAAACACTATTTAATGGCTTCTCAAAAGAATTGTCTTAAGAGGACATATACATAACAAATTTTTTTAATAGCACCTCCAAAATACATCTTTACCATATATTTACGTTTATTATGGAAGTGGTTCTATTCCCCATATAACCCCATGATTATATTATTATTTACTAGCATAAAAAAGAAGCACTAAATTATTAATTTAATATTAAAATAGTTATATTGTATTTAACTAACCTTTCATTAAAAGTTAAAAATTTAATTTCATCATCATCTTCTAACGGTAAATCGGTATAGTTAATTTTTTGACCTACAACAGTGTTTAATGAAGCAAATAAACTGATTAATACAGCAATGAGCAAATATAAATTGCTCATTGTTGTTTAAATTTAAGTAAATAATAAGATGATACAAATTACAATTGTACAGACTCGCATTAACTGGCAAACTAATATGCCCTCGCCATTGAAATCCTTTAAATATCGAATATGCAGGAAAGGCTATTTTGAGATACGGAAAGTAAAACATTAATTGAAATTTCATGGCGCCATAGAAAATCTCGTGCGTGGGTTACATAAATGATAATAATTTTATTTAAAAAAAAAACCATATGCGTTACTTGAATTTTTAATAATACAATAAATGAATACAGGTAATTTTTTTAAATAGATAAATAAAATTAAAACTAATATGTCAGTAAAATAAATGATTTCAAATTTCATAGACTTATTTTTATGGAGGCTCTAAAGAGAAGATGGCTACAAGTGATTAAAGTGATATTTAAATATATCTGAGTATATACAGAGCGATTGTTTAACTATGACTCACATAATATCTTTAAAAATGTTAAACATAATACAATTTTTTCTATTCAGTAATTGATAGTATTCTACGTTCTATAATTTTCAGAAAACAATATGGTCCTATCATAACTCTTTCCCCCTTAAAACTTTATCAAGTTAATTTGTTTAATAAGAACATAAGGTTAACCAACTTACAAACTATAAAATGATCTGTCTAAAAAAATGACTGATCATTATCAACTATTGAACTAGTATTTTAACAGATATAAATATTTTTATAACAAGGTAGAGAGAAGAGTGAAGTTAATGCCTAGAGAAGAAAATAAAGTTTCGCGCTTTAACTACAGTATTTATATTAATGAGTTAAAAATTTCCAAAATACTGGTCCTAAAGTTATCAACCTGTCATTTTGTAAGATAAATTATATTTTAGTTTGTAGGTTGATTGAACATATATATTTCTATTTAAAAATTTCAAGTTGATAACATTTTAAGGGAGGTTAAAAACAAATAATTTTTTGAAAATTATAAAACGTATAATAAAATTTGATCACTTAATATTATTAATATTATTTAAAATTAAAACTATATTACATAAACACATAGTATGTGTTTAGCGTTGATAATGGTAACATTGTTTCCAAAATACTTATTCGTAATTTTTTGTGGTTTTTTGAGTTTAATAATTTTATTATAGTTTTAATTTTAAATATAAAACATAATTCTTTAATTTTAACAATATCCTACTGGTAACTTGTGAAAAGAAAAAATAATATTAAATTTTATATTTTTAAAAATTTACATGAGTTAAACATGCATAATTAAACAATGATCCTGAATTTGTACAAAGTGTCTAAAAAGAATATATGGGAAAATATTTTATGAATTTCTAAATTAAAAATATATAAAGGCGTAAGTTAAATGTACCAACGTTAAAATAAATAACATAATTAATTTTTTTAGTAAGTTTAAAATCGATTTATAAATACATTTCTATTATAATTTGATAAAACTTGTTACAGTTGATAAACGTCTAAAAATAATTGGGCAAATTTCAAATTCCTATGAGCTGTCTCCTGATAGACGTTTGTTTAGATAATCAATAAAGAGAACAAATTATCCTTGGCCTATTTTTAAATGCGTAAAAGGCACTAAATTTTAATTTTTCATAAATAATATCATTTTTATGTCAGTAAAGCGGGAGATAAATTATAATTAGATATGTATATTATACGATATAACACGTACTTATTTATACCAATGGATACCCTTATCCTTCTCCTAAAAAAAGCAATTTTTGAAATTTAGTCGTTTTTGACCTTTTATTTTAATAAATTAATTTTAGGTACCTTTTCTCTAAAATAAAACATCCACCAAAAAAATGACTGATTATGCTACATATTCTACTCTGTAAATATTAATATAAAGATAGGGGTAAATTTTGAAATGCATGTATGTTAATCTCTTCGGCGTAAAAATTTGTAAATGCATTATTAAGGTTGTAGTAAATACGCACATCAACTATATTATATACATAGTGTAAAACTATTATGTAATATAATATAAAACTTTTAATTAATTTTTTTTTATTATTCACAAATCCTTTGGTTTACAAATATTATTAAATTAAAGCTAATATGAGCCATCCAAATGCAATAAGTCGTTTATCCAAAAAGATTAACTTTTTAATCTTACTTTTTCTTAATGAATTTACTTATAACTAGTTCATAAAAAGTAAAATTAAGGTAAAAAAGTGTTTTTGACTTGTAATATACTTATTGGATAAAAGAAATAAAAAATTAGTCCAGCAATTCTCCCTTTTAAGAATCGTACATGAACAATGCATAATCAATAGTGAAACTATCGCGTCGTTAATTTAGCGAATTTATTAAAATATTATAAAAAAGTAATTGAAAGGCAATAACTAGAAAAATCTAACTTTTTCAGAAAATAATTTTTTGTTAATTTTAAATAAATATTATTTTTTTGCATAATTCAGTATAAAAACAAGTTCTATATTTCTATTATTTGTGAAGATATTTAATTTAGACAAATCATTGTACTATTGCCTTTAATGAAATATTTTAATAAGATTGTATCTCCTGAAAATTTTTAAAAAAATGGACTTAACTGATTATTGCGTCAAATCCTTCAATTTATATAATATATTATATTAACTATAATAGAAAAATAATTGATTAATATGCAGGCTAGTATAATAAATTATCAATAAGTGAAATTTTATACGCATCAATCGTGACCTTGGTTATAAAATTTGATAATTTTACTATCAAAAATAGCCTAACAAATCGCACATGNATAAAATCGTGACCTTGGTTATAAAATTTGATAATTTTACTATCAAAAATAGCCTAACAAATCGCACATGATTTCAAGAGAGTCATATCTCAAAAAAAGTCATTTCGAGATAAACGACTTATAAATTTCGACCTCCTATGAGAGTTATATTCTGTGTTATTCCGTTTTTAGAATTTATATTCATTGCATGTCAATGAATGATAAACCCTATTGAATTGTACTAAAATGTTAAACACAATGAATTTCTATATTTACCATAAAGTATATGTAATATCTCAATGATATATTTCATTATTATAGTATCATTGAGGACTTCTAATAGTGTAGTGTTACAGAAGTTAAATACATGTAGTAAATTAAGTAAAATTAAAACTATATTAAAAATATTATTAATTTAAAAAACTAAAAAATATTAAACTCAAAGCCACAAAAAAATTAATGAAAAGTCGCGGATACGTATTTCGGAAACAATGTTACCATTATCAACGCTAAACACATAGTTAGTAATGTTAAATAATTTGAACGAGAAATAGGTGATATTTTAAGATGCTGCAAATAGATAACACTTAAACGTCAATAATAATGCTCAATGAGTTATTATAAATGCACGATGTGAAATTTAAATGTAACTTTCATTTAAACATGGTAATTGGATATGTGAAGGGCAAAGTAATTTGTTGATACGAGTTAGAAGTTAAGTTGAATGTGATCCTTAAAAAACGTGGCTATTATTTTTAGGAATTTATATTTATGTAGCATATACGTTATTCATATTTATAATCTAATAAGATGTACCTATCAACAGATTTATCTTTTAATCGTGACGCCAAAATGCGTAATGCATATTATGGTGATAAAAACCTTGTCCTTCATGAAATTAATGTTCAATAATCCAATATCATAATTTTTACGGAGAATAAAAAAAATTACCTAGTAGTTATTTGTTTCTTAACATATATGGTTAATGTCTATCAAAATTTCTACTACGTTGGTTGGTCTTTATAGTAAAGAACATCGAGTGAGATCATCAGAAGGCCAATGATTGTAGATGTTTTTATTAGCGTTGTACGAACTTGTATTAAACTTGGGTTTAGTAGTTGAAACTGTTTGCGAAAGATGAGAATGAATATTTTGAAACGAGTTATTAAACATTGGACGTGACATAACTGTTAAAACTGTTTGCGGTGACGAACTGTAAAGTGGCTGACTTATCTGGCCTACTATTACCCAGCCAAGATAAGTATTAATGCTAATAGTAATCCTTCAGAATGAATTGTCTTTGTAATAAACCGATTTAAATAAGGAAATATATCACTACCGATGAGCATGTCAATATATGCCGGTTGATCAAATTGCGTGTCGGCTAATAAGAAACGACCGTACCGTGAACGAACGGTTCAACCAATTAATTCTGTTTGACATGGACGACGCCCAGCGCACTCATTGGTAATTGTCGAAATTTAAGAGCCGTTGTCTAATATTACACGGACCGAATGATAATTACCACGCTCATCTGAAACACGAACAATTGCCGTATCAAGCACTATAGTGCAATTCGTACGAACAGTACCGACAAACTAGATGTTTGATTCTTCAGATGGAGATTGTTCAGATGTAGTATTAGTCGATGAAACATTTAACTTGAAATCCATGTGTAGCATTGTATAATGAAGCTTGATACATTACCTACAAGTTGACGAAGTAATACAAGCGTTGATCATATGAGAAGGACTCATGTACAAATAACATAATTTGTTTGATTTGATGGCATCTTTCAACTGATTATCGTTTGAATGCCGGACAACAATAGAGTATATGTGTGTCTGTTATGCAACAAATACATTTATTATTGCTAGACGATGCAGCGCATAATGTCAAAGGAGACGTTTGATAGTCAACAGTAGACACTCAAAAAACATTATTCGGATATTTTATATCATGCCATAATTTTTATTATGCCATGTATTTTCTCAAAACAACTACTATTTTCCAATATTTTACATTGCTTATTAACTAATTTAAGTAAAACATCAAATGTCGGAAATTCTATTTGATGTATATCGCTTTCAAATAAATGACGCGTATTCGTATCCAATAAGCGAGAACCAATGAAAACAATAGAAAGCCGGATGAATCATCGATACCGAGTGCCTTAATAGCAGCAACATTCTCTTGGAAAACGTTGACGAAGGCCGTTAACGCAGAGAGAGATTCCTGATTAATCGGCGAAAAGAAAATATCTTGTCAAGGTGTGCTGTAGCGAGTAAATGTTAGTAAAATGTTGGATGTCAAAACGCTCCATTAGCCTAAGCAATATCATAATTTGCGATTGATAA